GGTGTGAGGGTTTTCCAATATGTTTATTAGTACATTGGGCCAAAATATGGTGTGCTTATTTTATATGACGTGATTATACAGGGGTGACTATATAGGGGGTTGACTATATATATATAACTGCATATAATATATATATATGCAAAAATTTAAAAATTAAAAATTTTCATCTTTACTTTTTGATATCGTATCTTATACGTATAGAAACTTTTAAATAGTGATGCCGACTTAACTTTTAATATGCTGTAATGTTTAAAATGTAAAATTAAAATAATGTGAATTTTTATCTTTTACATGAATCTTAGTAATAAACTATTATTAAACTATTATTAAACCCTATTGAAACTAAAACACTAAATGACAAAACCGTTTATTATTTAACTCCAGTTAAGTCGGCACACTATTCCTTTTTCCACTTCTTTTCTCCTTTCAAAATCCTTTTTTTTTTTTTGAAAAAAAAAAAGTCTGGAAGATAGCCGATAAGCTTCTTTTGTGCACACTCGTGCAAAATGTAAAGAATTTCCTAAATATTGTGATAAAATAATATTAAGGGAGACCCGATATCTAGCTGCAAAGGATACAAATAATTCAAATTTAAATTTTCTTGAATGTGTTAAATTTTTATTTGTGATATGAAGAAGGTTTCTTTTAGGTCGATATGATTTCTTTAAAGTTTAATTGAAATACCAAAAGGTTTATAATGTAATGATTAATAAGCCATATAACACACTTATTATACACTTCATTATTAATATTATAAAAATGAGGTCACAAAATTCCTAAAAGTTAGGAGAAACACCGCAATAAACAGAAAGAATTTAATCATCCTACAAACCATATTCATATCAAACATTTTATATGAGAGGTTTCATAAGGATCCAGCGTAGAGAAAGGTTTGCAAAGAAATAACTTTTAATTTTTTCTTTGCTGAACTTCTTTCTTTTTTTTTACATTCGTTTAATTTTTTTTCTTTTTTTTTTTTTAGACATCCACTTCATAGTCTTACCGCTTCTTACAATTGATCACATGATTAATTTTTTGTCGAATGAAGACACCAAGTGAAGTGAAGTAATTTCAATGATCGATTGTGATGAAGCAGGTAAATATTTTATGTTAATCAGGTTAATCATATTTTATATTTATACAAATATTTACTTTTACTTTTAGGAATTAAGATATGTGGATGTTCTCTATGCTTTATGGCGTGTCCTGTATCTACCAGGATCAATGTCCATACAAACAGTGGATCAGTATCAGTATAGTAGGTAATAAATATATCACCTTTAATTTTATCTAAAATTAATCAAACCCATTTGCAATTTTATTAAATTAAACTTCTACCCACTTCCTCAGGATTTGATGGTAAAAGTGTCATAGGCAATGACAAAAATTTTATACCATAACAATAAAGTTCATTTGCAACCACTCTATCATATCTACAATCAACCGTAGATTCTCATGCTAGGGAATCATTTTGTGACAGTAGAAGTTGTGCAAATTACTTGCAAAAAAATAACCATATAATAAAAAATAAAACAACAAAGAAAAAAAAAGCAACAAAAATGGACAAATAAAAAAAATCAAAAAGAATAGCCGAGTAAAAAAAAGGTTAAAAAATTATATAACAAAGTTTATATAAATCATGTGATTTTACATTACGTGAGTTTTTTTTAGAAAGAAACAAATATTTGTCATTCTTCTAATTTGTATTTTTATATTATTAATTTTTAATGATATGTTATGTTAATTAAGATATTTAAGATCATAAATTAAGAATATTAAACTATAAAAACTATGAATAATAAATATGTTAACGTATTTTAAAAATTAAAAAGTGATAAAAAAAATTTTTTTTTTTTGATTGGTAAATTTACAGTATGGTTCTCAATATCAAATTTTTCTAGAATTTTTCTAGTATAATTATCCTCCCAATAAATCAAAGGAGCATTCCTACGTGAACGAAAATAATCTGAAAGACGTAGTAAGAATGCGCAGCTAACGGATAGTTTTCGTTCTGTAACAACGTGACTCTGGTTTGAATCCACAAAATCATATAATTATTAACAAAGGCTAAAAATTTATTATATAGAACCTTTTTATATATGAAATATTCTGCGCAAACTTCAAAATCTTTATTAGAATAACTAATTAGCACATATAGCGTTCGTTTAATCATAAAAACGCAATCCAGATCATTGTTTGACTATCGAGAATAAAAATATACGTACCGATAATTGTATGTATTTCACTTGATCTCATTTATATATAATTTCGCGATGTAACAATTGTAACATGCGATACTTTTCTCTCTTTATAATAGTGTACCGACCGATATCTCGCATGTTGGATTTCGGATCTCTTATCAAATCATGTGTAAATTTTACATTTTATTAAGGAATTTTCTTCGATATTTGTGGACTTACTGTGTAAAGTATCCTTTATCCAATTTTGATCTTTAGCAATTCCTATTTTTGTATCATTGGGTTCGCGAAGTACTTGAGATCAATATGAGAAATAAAGGTTTTATGACATCTATTAGAAGATTTCTTTTTAAGATATTTATTAGCCAAAATTATCATAAATTGCAAATAAAATTCCATCTATCAACGCTAGAGACGCGAAACTAATATTTCTTTTGTTTTGTCTATTTAATATAACTATACAAAATCTCTGATTTGCACGTCAATACGGTATAAAGGCGAAAATCAGTTGATTGTCAGGTGACACGACTGACACGTGATTGCAACAGTAATACGTAATTTTTTAATAGTAAAAGAAATTTTTTAAAATTTCAAGATATAAAATATTAAAAAAAAAAATTATTTGAGAAAAAAGTATCGCCCCATTTTTTGTGAGAAATTATTCAGCATTGACCATTATCTTTGATAAGATACTTTATTTTGGTTAGGTTGATTTATTTTATTTTATTTTTTTTTTTTAAAAAATAAATCTAAATATAAGATGACAGATGACCAATTCAAACGCCAATATGCATTTGATTGTTTCAAAAATATAACATGATTTTTTATATTTTTAAAGAATAAATTATTAATCGGAATCTTTTAGAATCATAGAATCACATTAACAATAAAGTTCTCATGACATATTTTGTGCATGCTTATAAATTCATTATATAAACTATTACAAATCATTTAAAATATTTCTTATCATGTTTCACATATTATTTATATATTTAAATTAATTGTTACATAATTTGATTTAAAAAATTTAAAAATAAATATTATAATAACGACATAAAAAAGGTTTTATTGATCTTATTCATTATTCCTTTTACAGAATTTCATTACCATAATAAGTTTAATTCAATATGCTTTATTGGTTTTTTGCATTTTTTATTTAACTCTATTTAGAAGTTTTTAACATACACGTTCAAAAGCGAAAAAGGAAACACGACATTACGTGTTTTGGCCAAAATTACGAACTAAAAATTATGAAATTATGTCACGGGTTTTGCCGGCGCTATAAGATCACCTACGGGCACGTGATCGGGTTTCTAAAATTTTTAAAATTTGATAATTCGATGTACCGCTGACAGATCTACCTGACGCCCGTCAAATATGTAACACATATCAGATATTATAAATCATATTTAAATTTAAAGTTATGATAGAATATAAAACACAGATCAATTAATAATGCGTGGCAAAGCTGCTAATAAAATTTTTTATAGTATAAACTTCCACTAAATTTTTTTTTCTTTTTTTTTTGGCGAACCGTCTTAAAGAAAATTTTATTTATTTCTTATTTGTCCACATATATTTAAAATAAAACATATATTGAGATTAAAAATATAAAGTATTTCTTCATGATTTACCAAAGATACATATTTTATCCACAGATTGGATTGAAGCATTCTAAAAATAGACTAGAGTTATTTATCGAAATTTAAATTAAAATAGACGGTAATTCTTTTATGATCCACATTGTTCTTTTTTTCTCCAGGGATTGGATTGGGCTAAGTATTCTAAAATAGAATAGGTCGGGTAGTAATATTATTTGATGAACCATTGGATTAAATGAAGCATCCTAAAATAAACTAGATTTATTTATCGAAATTTTAAAGTGAACAGTAAAGGTATACATTGTTTTTATTTTTTTTTCAGATTCGACAATGGAATTGGATTGGATTTAAGCATCCTAAAAATGGACTAGGTTAGATAATATTATTTGATGGATTGATGAATGAAATCATCAGGGATTTTAATTTTAATTATTATCGATCATTGATATAATGATTTTAATAATATAAGGGGCAATGCAATATGTGCGATAATACGATCATATCATCATATGTAATGATTGAAGTAGTACTATGCGGATAATAATATAAAAAAGATACACATTGACTACTGTAGATTTATTTATCGATATTTAAAATAGACGGTATGATCCATCATTGTACTTATTTTCTCCAGATTCGAAAATGGGATTGGATTGGGGCTAAGCAAAATAGACTAGATCAGATAGTAATATTATTTGATGATCTACCAAAGATACATGTTGACCACATATTGACCATTGGATTGAATGAAGCGTCTTAAAATAGACTAAAGTAGACAGTAAAGGTATACATTGTTTTTATTTTTTCAGATTCGACAATGATGGATTGGATTTAAGTATCCTAAAAATGGATTAGGTCGGTCATTGATATTATGATTTCAATAATATAAGGGGCAATGCAATATGTGCGATTATACGATCATATGCAATGATTGAAGTAGTACTATGCGGATAATAATGTAAAAAAGGCAACGACACAAAGAGATATTAAAGCTAAAGCGATAACAAACATTGTCGTGTAATATTGATCTCAATTATTATTTTTTTATATTATCTTGTATTTGGATTGATCCTTATTATTGTTTTTTATTTTGAATCCTTCCTTATATAAACCGCATTTTTTTGACAAGGAAAATTTCAAATTTTTTTATCATTTTTGAAAATAATTTATTAATAATCATAATAATCAACAAGAAATGAAAATGTGCAAATTCGGTCTTGAAGTAAATATTATTATTGTTTTTTTTCAAAAAAAATATCAAATATTTTTAACGAGACATGTTTCTCTTGTAGGAAAACAATCGTATCAGACATTCCGTAAGAATGTATGGACATTTGGATGATTGTTTTATAAGGATTAGCAAGATATTGCCGCAATACACACCAAAACAAATTGAAAACCAGTAAGTAACAAAATATTTGTGCATATTCTTTTTCTTTCTTTTAGGGCAAAACTTTAATATTTTTTTGACAATTTTAAACCTTAGTTATAAAAAATACCTTGACGAAGAAGGTAAGTAAAACAGACCTCTTTAATATTTTCTTTTAAAAAAATTAATTCTAACCCATCTTTTATTTTACGTTTTTGATTAGCTCCGCCGATAAATTATGAACGTATTTTGGAAACATATGAAAAGCTTCAAGCGATAAATATTAAGAATGAACGATTGAGAAAATTAGTATTTATATGTCAAGAATTTTATTTTTCATTGAAAAAATCTGTGGAACAGAAAATTCATATTTATATTTAATTATTTTCTTGATGAGATTAATTAATAATTCATTGTTTGTTATCTGACTTATATATTTATCTTTAAAATTTCAAAAAATAATTTTATTAAAGTTTACTTACTTAAAACTAAAATGTAGATACATATAATAAAACTTAATATTTTTAAAAAAAATTATATATATACATAAATATTTTAAAATGTTATAAAATTTTTCAATTCACGAATACTAATTTTATGTATATTTGCCAGATTTTTTTTAAAAAAATCCCTTAATTTCGGAATCCGACGCATTTTTTCCTGCATCATCGAAGAATTACTTGAACAAAACCTTGAAAAAAAAAAAAATTATAATGAATTCGTTCTTGTATCTTTTAAGATCAAATTTAAAATTAATATACATTGATAATATATTATTATATTTGCAATTATTTAAAAACAAATGGATAGACACCTACAACTCATTTTGTTGTTTCTCCATAAATTCATTTATTTATTCAAATATTTGGCTAATATGATAGCAGTAGTACAGTAGTGTAGTCTCCGAAAGATGGTTTATTGATTTTGTATCTTTTTCTTTTATAAACTCGTCGACGTTTTAGAAAGTAAATACGATGTTGTCGGCAATGATCGTTTTGCTTGACATTGTGAAGTTGAAATTTAAGGGTTTTTAAATGAGAAATGAGAGAAATATAAGGCCGAGTAAATGAAATATCTAGATTCTCGTAACTGGCCCGCGTCAATTTTTGCGTCCGCATCATCTAAAAAATTTATTTGTCCGGCCTAAATAAGTATTTTATTTATTAATAGAACATGAAGGCCTAAGTACGCCAAAAAATGTGGTATTAAATAACAAATTTTGTGAACTAACACAATTTTTTTTTTTTGGTTTTGTTTATTAATTCCTAATCATTTCTCTGAATTAACCCTAAATGGAATTATTTTTCTTAAAATATTTTTCTGTTACAAATAGTAATTATAAATATAATATTGAGAAAATGAATAATAACATAATAAATATATAATAAATATATTCATTATTTTTTTTTTAAGGAAAACAAGCTAAGAAAATAATGATAATAATAAATGATAATAAACTAATAATTGGTGCATCAAAGGTGCATCAAATGAATTTTATTCGTCAAAAAAATCATATATGCATTTATCGAAACACAAAATTTTGTGATCTCTGGCGGTCCTATTATATTAGGTTTAGATAGAATATACCAAATTAGGCTTATCGAAAAATATACGTAGCACAGTATTATACTACATGCACATCTATCAGCTGGTTTAAAATTTTAAAATTCCACATAATACGACACATAATACGACGGTAAAAAAAAAGAAAATTTTCATAGCATATACTATACAAATACTATACAAAAATTTTATAAAAAATATTTTTCAAGAATTAATTTTTTTTTTTTTTTTTTTTTTTTTTAAACAAAAGATGCCAGATGACCATTTCTGAAACGCCAATGTGCATTAGGTTCTTCTTAAATGTAATCATTTATAGTTGTTCATTTTAAAACCTTGATGGAATCAAATAAATCCGATTTTTTAAAGTTCTCATGACACTTTTCTATTCGTTAGAAATCATGCGAAAAACATTCTCATGCATGTAAATAATCCTTAAATCGCTATTCATTTTTTTTCATTTTTGTTCCTTTTGACGGAAGAATTGCATAAAATACTCCTTTATCAATGATGATCTGCGATTCTGCGATTGCTATTATGTCCCTCTTTTGGCAGTCATATTTTCTTTTTTTGGTTTTATTGATTTTTATTTCAATGATTTGCCCCTTATGTTTAGGAGAAAAAAAATAATGATGAGTTAAATAATATTATTAAGACAAAATCATATTATCAAGACGCGACGGTGATGTGACCATTTATCACAGTATATAGTATATTCAAGAATTAACATTTAGGGAAATTTATTTTATTGAAATATATTCAAATATATATATATATATACTGTAATATATATTATTTTTTTAGAGCGGAAATAATTTATGTTTCTCATAACAATATTTTCAAATAAAAGATCTAATCCGCTTATACCTGAATTAAATTAATTTACAATAATTACAATAATATGCTATTTTATTTGAGTAGTAAAGTATGAAATTTGTGACACATTCTTTATCCAATCATCTTTATCCAATCATTAAAATATCACATTACTGATCAGTTTTTTATATATTCCACTTGATTGTATGTAGATCCGTGTGATGTAATTGCTTCAAATAATGAACATCTATTTTAAATTTTTAAATTTTTGTGTGATTCCCGATCAATTTTTTGGGCAAAAATTTACAATATTATTTATATTGAATGTGATGTTAATATATGCTTCAAAATAATGAAAATCTATTTTAAATTTTTAAATTTTTACGTGTGATTCCCGATCAATTTTTTGGGCAAAATTTACAATATTATTTATTAAATTGAATGTGATGTTAATATATAATCCATATTATATACGAGAAATGAAATTTAAATAAAGAACTCGGGAGTCTTCAATTGCATAACTTTGAAATGATTAACCATTTTCTTAAATGTATTTTCGAGATGCAATCACAGGACAAAATTAATCATTTATTATTTAGAACGAATAAAAAATATTAAAGAGAAAAAATTTATTTTTTGTTTGTTTTTAATTGTTATAGATTAAATTATACATGATAAGTGGTGAACAATTAAAGAAAGTGGATTATGAAAGAAATGGACCTTAATAAATGAAATTAATTTAAAAGGGAAAAACAAAAGAGAGGGGAAAAGGGGAAGACGAAAAAAAAAATGAAAATAGGGGAAAAGGTGAAGGATGAAAAAGGGAAAGTGGGATCTCAATTACTAATTGTTTACTTCTTAATTTTGTAAAGCATTTTAGATGATTTTAGCGAGTCAGAATCTGGATTTGTTTTGTCCGGTCGTTCCACAAAAGTGTTAGATTTTGTGCCATGAAGCCGCAAAGGCTATGTGCAAAACATCACACCTATACCACCAACTCCACCAACCCGAAAATCTCAGAATATTTTCTGATGAATCACAATAAGTAATAGTTTTATTAAATACTTAAATGTATTTAATTGTTAATTAAATAATTTAAATAATGAAATAATTACCAAATAAATAAAAAGTCCTTAGCTGCATTATTTAATATGATTTTAAGTCGAAAAATAAATGCTGCAACAACATAACAATCTATTTTTTAAATCTTGGCGGTGATAGTTAAAGAAAACTAGAGATTAAGCCAAATGTTAAGAAACAAAGACCGGTCACGGCACTTCTTATTGTCTTCCTAGTATGTTTAGGATCCTAAACATATGCTAATGAACCAATTTATTTATAAAAATGTAACATTAAGTTATTTTTGTATTGAAATGAAATTGGTGAAATTAACAGATGATGTCAGATCAAATTCTATGATAACCATTCAAGTTGGTGACACAAAAGGCAAATCCAAATTGATAAGAATAAGAGTACACGCGCTAATCTGATAACGTGATTTTTTCTTCGCGCCTTTTTGTTTTCCACCTTTAAAATAGGATATATCCATATTTTTAGAATTTATAAGTGTTGTTTCTCCGCAATATTTGTTTTCCACCTTTAAAATAGGGTATATTCGTATTTTTATAATTTATATATTATGTAAAGTCTAATAAAAAAGGGGGTTTTTATATGTAATTATTTTTAGTGCCGTAATTTTTTAGTTGGTGCTTTTTGTTCAAGCTAGTCAGTTGCTTTAGCAGATGCGGAAACATTATTATGATACTTTTCATGTATGAAAAGACGGCTTTAGGTGGCAGATTATTCAAGAAAATGATGTAAGTTATAAATAAATCAATCTTTTCATAATTATGAATCAACAAATTCATAATTCTACTAATAATTCCAATTTAGACAACGAACTTGGTCTTCAAAACTAAGAAAACTCTACTTCAAAATCACATGTTAATCAACACGGCCAATATTAACAACCAAGAAATAGCGTAAGCTCTCTGATACAAATTTGATGTAAATAAGAATGATGATTTTATCCGATTGAAATTGATGATGAAACATCATCTTGAAGAAACCCGGGTGTTTACCAAGCAATAACCAGAAAACGTTCAAAAAAAGAGATTAATGATGAGACGATTTTAAATCGGAGTCGCTTTCGTCTTTCAAGAAAAAGAAACGTACGACGAAAAAGTAATGGGAAGGAATATAATAAATATCAAGATAACTCTGTGGTGATCATGTGAAAGTTGAAGAAATGGTTTACCTAATTTCAAAGTAGGGCTATTTAAATAAGCTAGTCCAATTACTCTAGAATCAAAAAAATATCTTCTGTTCATCTTATTACAAATACTGAAGGACACAAGTGATGAGCTTTAATGCTAGGGCTTTAGGAGCTATCGGGTTAAAGGCGAAGATAGTGAAATTCGAGCAAAAAACAAATAATTGAAGTCGGTTATCAAAGTAGCAACAAAAATAACAATTACTGGTTTTTTCCAACGATAAAGCTTCAAGTAAAGAACATGCAAATGAGGTACAAGAAAGAAATACTTATCTTGATGGCGTATGATAAGGGCGGTATTCGGACTGGCAGTTGTATCGTACTTGAGTTAGATAGGTCGAGATTGAACGGGATGAATAAGTAGAGATGTTTAAATGCTCATCTGATTATTATTCATAATTTATCGGTACATATTGATATTAATTCGTGCTTCGTTTTTTGGCATATCTTGTACTTCCTCGCGAATCTTAAAGATCTCTTAGTAAGTCATATACTCGTCTTTTCTTAAATAAATATATCATCTTAATTTATTAATAAATGTCTTGTATATTTATATAAACATTTTTCAGCATACATTTCCCGTCCTAAAAAAACAATTGGTGATATTTATTCTTCAAGTACATCTGTACATCTAATGGAGCTGCACCAGTTGCTACCATTGTAGAATGCAGATCTAATATTCCTTCATATGTTTTATGTTTTTTAACGTTACCTCGAAAATTATTACAATTTTCATTATTTAAATTAAATTGTATAATATATTTTATTTAATCCATTTTTCCTAATTTTATCGTATAAATAAAAATTTATTATGAAATTTTAGTTATAGTTTAACATATAAGTTTCACGCGATGCAGATGCATTCATTATTTACAAGTCAGTAAAAAATTTATTATCACGATGTAGTGGTTCACGGTCTTTTCACACAATAAAATAATATAATTGATATTTTGACGATTTGATCTAATCGTAAAATAATTTGATTGATACTGTAAGTCTACTACAAAGTGATCAAATTTGTAAATTTCATGCTTCATCAATTCCATCTAGTCCGACGCTCATTATACCAATCTCGTAATTCTAAAACATTTTCGTACCGATAGAACTATAATGGTTAAATTCTACCCACTAATTAATAATAAGCTATACCTAATCCTCAAAGTCACAAGCGACTAGTTCCCTTTGAAATAAATACTGTAAATTTTGCTTATCAAAAATTCAAAATGTGAAAACCATAATATATTTTCAACTTTATCGATGCATAATCGTACAAAGGATACTCCTATAAAATAAAAAATATACGATTATTTTTAAAATAATTAAAGAATACATGTTCGTATATATTACCTTACGAGAGGATCATTCTTTTGTATTTAGCAAATACTTGGAAACGGAAAGGAACATCATTTTTCTATAGATTCACATGCCAGTATAAAACTTTTGATGCTACAATTGTAAAATATTTTACATCGACCACCAAACAGTGTTGACTTTGGTTCGTAGTATATGCAATCTCTCTGCCTTCCTATAACAGGGATCTAATGCATTCCCATTTTTGTAAAGCTAAAAATAATTATAAAATTTAATTAAATAAAAATAGATAATAATATTATTCCTACTTATTTCACGCGTCTTACGCTAGTCTTCAAATTTCTAATTCAGATCTTGATCAATCAGTCCATTACCGATACATCATATAGGACCACTTCATCATCATATTTTCACCATTTGACCAACATAAATTGGTGATTACCCAACTCTTCGATACTAACCCTATGAAGAAAACCCTCGTCTTTATTTCCTCCAGACATAAATTTAAATTCATGAAATACTATCATAAGAAATGCTAATCATGAAAAAACACTACCACCCCTATCTTAATAAAAACGTTAAAATAAAATCTTTCTCCGTCTCTATTTCCTCTCATTAAAATTGACTGAGAGGAAAATTTAATATCTATTATAAAAAAACCAATTCCACCGACATAAATTTTAAAAGAAAATCCTTCTCCATCTCTATTTCCTCTCATTAAAATTATGAGAGGAAATTTAATATCTTTTATAATAAAAAACCAATTCCACCGAGATAAATTTAATAAATATTAAAAGAAACCCATCCTTTTCCGTCTCTAACCTTTTAAATAATCATGAAGAAAAATATTCGACTTCATTTAATAAACCTCTTTATTTCCTCTTTCACAATTTTAATTCTTTTAATGTCCCAAATATCAAATATGGAAGATAATTCTCGTTAGCCCCTCGATTAATAACGACTAATAAATCCAAAGATTTGTTTAATTGTAGGGAGAGTTACTAACTTTTTGACTATTATATAATGTATTGAATTAGGAATTGGTCAATGTGATAATATATTGATATCAATTCGTATATGTTATTTGTTTATTTCTTCATTTATTTTCTATCATCATCGATATTCATCACATCAACATTCTTATCGATGAACAATCGAAGCATTAAGCTTCGAATACACAATCTGCTTCTCAATACTTTCTCTTTTATATATCAAAAAATAAAAAAATATCGAATTAGATAATATCAACTTTTAATAAAAATACGAAAATTGGTACAAGTAAATTGTAAATAGGAGATGACTATTATTAAACTAAAGGAACTTCCGAAACATATCTTCTTTGTAAATTTCTGGCTATTGCTAGAGCAACTGGGCTTGAACCTATGTACCCAGGTTCAAAACTTAAGGAGACTGGCTGGTTTATATCCAGATTGTAAATTACTAAATAAGGGTGTTCAACATAACGTTATCTAAATATGTATAAGGATAATTAGTAATTTATGATGTCATAAGTTTTAAACAAAATGTGTCGATCCTATTCTATAGTATGCACTAACACGTGATTGTTTTACCTTGAAGTCAATGGCGCATGTGGCGCTGCGCCTGCGCCATTAACCTTCAGACGTGCATGACGTATAGCTCGTTCACCAAACAGCACAGCAAAAAACATTAGATGCTTGGATATCATCTATTCAAAGCCGCGATTTAATCCTGTAGCCTAAGCATCAATAATCCTTTTATGTGAGAGAATTCATTTACGTATCTACATAATCCAACTTAGGTTTATAATACATTTTAAACTCTATTATAACTTTTCATGAGGTTTCCCAACATTTTAAAGCCTGCTAAGCCGTTGTGTAACTAATAGCGTAATACTATGTGACGTGTCAAAGATGGTTTCTCGTTCACAAACAGGTCTTCACAAGGGAATCACTCTTTCTAGCACTGTTCGTAATCCTATTAATCAATGTTGGCATTTCCAAAATGAATTCATTCAACCCTGCAATAACCTTAGTCTGGCTCTAACAGCATCAGGACCTGGACCAGGTCCATGTATAGTCAAACTTGAGTGCATAGGTAGTAGTAACCGTCAGAAGTGGGTAGTTAGTAAAGTGAAGTAACAAACATATGTATGTTATAGTCGGAGAGTAAATGTATGTTGATAGTATAGTATAGCGTGGATGTTGTGTGGTTTTTATGAAAAGCTATCAATTAGCAAATAAGTCTTTGATATAGTATACGCAACAATTGGAAAACTTTTATAGAACTATCAATTTCCTATTTTGTTTTATTTAATGTCATTCAATTGTCTACACAATATATTTCTTTTCGTGCGAAAATAAATTGTTTAATTTTTTTTTCTTTTCATGCTAATTGTTAGTCCTTGCATATCTATCGCCAAAAGTTAATCCTTCAATGCTATCGGGTATATATCGGGTACCCAATATGTGTATTATTTATGCGTAAATTCGGTGATACATATTACAGATATCGTGCACGTATTGCACAGTTTTTGATAAATGTTTCTGCTTTTTTTTACGGGTCTCAAACCGAAAAAATGTGATAAATTGTAAAATTTTACACAATCTTTCCATAGTAAATGACTAATTATGACCATTTTTATTTATCGACCTCTCATGTATAAAGGATCAATGTCGAGCTCTCATATAATACCGAGCGGTATTTAATTTTCACGTGCTCTTTAAAATTTGTGATCTTTAAAAAATTGTTAGCGAACTCACTCTAATGTACAAAGGATCGGTGTCGAGCTGTAGGATAGATCACAAACTCATACAGTATATATATAATCACCATCACTCCTTCCTAGATTCGAATGCAGGCTTTGCAAATGTAATGTGAATGCAAGCCTGATTTAAAACAATAATTGCACCGTTCATCAGTTAAGAATGTATAATCAGTTTTTTACCACAAATTTCGTATATAATATATTAGACATTTAGATTTTCTTTGCAAATTGTAGAAAGTATTGTATATATATAATCGATAAAACATAATACGCATTATTTACTTGCATTACTAATTAGGTCGTTTAATTAATTTATTATCAAATAACTAAAATATTCAATCTGTCAATAATGGATATTTTAATATCATATTTATGTTCGTTTATTACATTTTATATATATAAATATTTTTAAAGAATAAATAATTGAAAAAAAAAATTAAAAGGCAAAGGCGGTTTGTGTTACATCAATCTCTCTTTTGATTTCATGCTAATTAAATTAATTCTTAACTTTAAAAAATTCTTGTAAAAGTTCCTTTTTAGTTGAATTTCTTTTGGCGAATAATCATGGTGTGTGAAGAACCCAAATTTAATTTTAAAAATAATATATAATTGAGAATCAATTTTTATAATATGATCGAATGTATTATAGAACAGAATGAAAATTTTATTGTGTAAGGTAACAGAAACAATGACAGCGTTTATTTCTTTCGAGTACAATTGCGCAATATTATATATAATTTATTAATGTAGCATATGAAAAATGTTCTCGATCAATTTTAATTCAACAATTACCGCTTTATGATTAAAGCGCAATATTTGAATGAATTGTTCCGTTCCAAATAAATTATTTAAAATTTGAAAAAATTCCTCATGATTTACGATTCTTTTATATAAAATGCTCTGAAATTTCTAGTAAACCTACAAAAAAATTTAAATCAAATTCACTCTATTAATAATTCTCATATCATGGCCTTGATTGGTTCTTATGATATCACATGATGATGAAAATGCCCTGATCTGTGCAACTCAAAATCTTATGATAATTATCAAATCAAAAGGATTTAAATTTTATACGCAGGTGCGTTGCAACGCACCCTTTATAATATCTCACATATAAAAGTCAAAAACACCATTCTAAACCATACTTTGTTCTTTAAGTACAATTGTAAAGCAACCCTATAAAACAATGTTGTCCGATAAATATTCGGAATGGGGTCAATTTTCCCATGCTATTATACAATATTTGTTACAATTTAATACAAGATGTGGAGATTGAGAATTTTTAACCACATAAAAAAATGTATAATATCATGATGAATGTCCAAATGTCCAATAAATGTCAAGTAAATGTTCGGGACGGGGTCGATTTTCCAAACAAAAAACCGAACAGTGTTTGGACAATATTTTATATAGGGCAAGCAAAAATACGCATAGTACGTGTCTTTTAAAAGCTCTATAATATGTTTATTTTATGTAAATCAGGAAATTACTATCGACGATACAAAGTACAAAGTACAGGATCTGAAGTAATATCATCTAGCTAAGCCAGACCCATCAAGTGGTTTCAAGAAAGACCTTTGACCAAAACACGACAGAATCAGCCAAGTTGAAACGAAAAAAAAATAAAAAAAATAAAATAACGCACTGGGGAAAGGAATATGACCGTAAAGGAAAATAAAAAAAGGGGGTAGGAAAAAAAGCTAAAGCTAAAAAAAAAAACCTAAAGAACTACATCTACCTACGAAAACAACTATACACTCCTTAAAAAGTCTCCCCACTACCCTACCGTGGGATCCTACATAACAAAAAAGAAATAGAAGGGTATTAGCAACCGTTTTATGGTATAAGGGACGCCTTCTATTATTTCGAAGGATTTTGCTTGAAATCTAAGAGAGGAGATTCAGGATTAATTTCAACAAAGACCGCGTATCGTCGTTCACTTTTGTGGTTTTCTTGGATTTGTCGCGGGATTTTTTCGAAGAGGTAGAAACCTTAGGATCCGCCTTCTTCCCTTTGAGGGATTTCAAGTTTTTCTTTTTGTCTTTATCAGACTTCTGCGATTTTTTTTATTCTGGAAAGGGGAATGTGATTCAGCTCTATAATATGTACATAAAGTTTATTCGACATTTATTCAAATTTAACGATGTCACGTGATAAGAAATGATCGACATATTTACTATGAGAAAATTACCAAAAGGGGGTGCGTTACTACGCACCCGCGTAAAAATGTATTTTCCTTATCAAAGGATTTAAATTTTATTAAAATAATAATATGAATTATTTATTATATGGGGACGAAGAAGTTGTTTGTGGTGAAGTTTATTAAATAATTTAATTATAATTTTCAGAAAATTGGATTGTCTAGTAATCTACTACCATTTTAACAGTTTAATCGAGAATATACTAGATGAAATCGTTGGCTGACTTAGTAAAATGATTTCAATAAACTAGATGTTTAAAAAAAATGTCTGTATTTAGGAAAAAAAATCGAATTTTATTTTATTTCTAGGTAAATGATGAATTTGTCTCGTGTGAATTATCAGCACGCACTATCGACTACTATCTTACATACTAAAGGAATTAACAAAAGAATTGATTAATCATTTCAATATCATGCAGCCGAAATACTCGCAGTTCCTAATGCAAATTACTACTAATATCAGATATAAACAGACAATATAAATAAAATAATACTATAAATATATAAAATAATATAAATAAAATAATACAAATAAACAATACAAATAAAATAAACAATACAAATAAATAATACAAATGAATAATACAAATAAATAATATAAATAATATGTTGATAAAATTTTTACCCCAAAAAAATCTAATTTGGAAACATTGCCTCAGCAAAGCGTAAGGTAAGTTCCTTTATGGACGAATTATTCTAATTGTCATTAGGTGGGAATACAAAAATATATTTATCAATCGAAATTCACACGGATTTTAAATTCATTTAAAAAATCAGGAAAATCAGGTAAATTTAAAAGTAAAGCAGGCCGGTATTTTTCCCTTTTTTTTTGATTTTGACAATAAAGTTTAAATTACGAGGATCGTTTATATAGAAATAATAAAAATAAAGTTCAAAACAAAAAAAAATTAATCTCATATCATTATTATAAAAAATATCTATTTTTAGTTTTTTTTTAAGAAAGAATCAATTTAAGTATCATGAAAATGATTTTTAATTTCAGCTAATTCAAAAGTAACATTTATTATAGGCAACTTTCATCTTTTATTGTTTAAATGAATTCTTTTTTTAACGACGATCTCTTCATTTAAACTTTTTTTTTTAAAAAAAAATATTAACATAAAATAATCATGTATATAAAATAGTCAATATGAACAAGTTTAGATAAATTATTTCTTTTTTCTAGAATAAAAAAAGAAAAATTTGCTTCGTGACGATCAACGTTAATTTTTTGGTGCGTCATCGCACAGATCTACATACTGTACATATGTCAGCTATGAATGAAAACGCATATAGATTAGACATTGTTGTCATCAACGTCATCATCATCATTCGAGGGTTTGATATGTGACCTCGTCTAATCTCTCCGGATTATTTGTAATAATCTTAAATGTTTTATTTCCTCTTTAGAATTTTCTTGTAACTAGAATTATAATAAACTTCCCTTCAACTCATTATATTTTCACCACCTCCCCTAACTACATAAGATAAAAAAAATATACATAAAAAATAATTCTCGGTACACGCCAAACACCTTTTTCTACGTGTTACATAGTATTCAAAGCCGCAATTTATCCTGTGGCCTAAGCATCAATAATCCTTTTAGATGAGAGAATTCATTTACGTATCAGTATTCTGGTTTCCATTTTTATACATAATCCAACTTAGGTTTAACTTTTCATGAGGTTTCCTTAACATTTTAAAACCTGCTAAGCCATTGTGTAACTAATAACGTAATACTATGTGACGTGTCAAAGATGGTATAGGCGTATAGCTCGTTCACAAACAGCACAGCAAAAATCATCTATTCAAAGCCGCGATTTAATCCTGTAGCCTAAGCATCAATAATTCTTTTAGAAGAAAGAATTCTTTTTGGATAACTGAATCTAATCATTTAAACTTATGACTTCGCTAAACAAGCCTCTATATTGATCTTTACATGTATAAATATGTCCTAAACTTCGCACTATTTGAAACAGAAATAAAACATTCTTCTCTACAGAAAAAAAAGTAAAAATCTAAGAAAATCAAAATGAGATTTAACTTCCTTTTGCTCCTTTTAACCACCCTTATTGCTGTTGCTTTAAGCCAAAATTGGAAACCCTGTCAAGTGAATATTAAATTAAAAAGCACGAATCTTTTTTGGACATTAGATACCAGACGTTTTGTTATTTTACAACCAAAAAGTTCTAGCTCTCTTAAATTGACAACTGTTCCTTTTCGCGTTCCTCTTGGCAGTGTAAAGGGTAGTTCCATCGATAGATTTCATGGCGAATCCGTTCAATCCCTTGGTCCTAACAAGGGACTCCTTCTTTTACGCACTAATCTTGAACCTACCCAATGTTGGCATTTTCATGGGGATTTTATTCATCCCTGCAATAATCATACCCAGGCTCTAACAGCAGAACGAACCATAGGTACTAGTATAATTACAGTTAAACTAAAGCACAAAACTGGTAGTAACAGTCAGAAGTGGGTAGTTAGTAAAGCGAAGTAACAAACATATGTATGTTATAGTCTGAGAGTAAATGTATGTTGTATAGTATATAGCGTGGATGTTGTGTGGTTTTTATGAAAAGCTATCAATTAGCCGATAAGTCTTTGATATAGTTAGTATACGCAACAATTAGAAAACTTTTACTATAGACCTATCAATTTCCTATTTTGTTTTATTTAATATGTCATTCAATTGTCTACACAATATATTTCTTTTCGTGCGAAAAATAATTGTTTAATTTTTTTTCTTGCCATGCTAATTGTTAGTGTCCTTGCATATCTATCGCCAAAAGTTAATCCTTCAATGCTATCGGGTATATATCTGGTACCCGATATCGTGCACGTATTGCACAGTTTTTGATAAATGTTTCTGCTTTTTTTACGGGTCTCTCAAACCGAAAAAATGTGATAAATTGTAAAATTTTACACAATCTTTCCATAGTAAATGACTAATTATGCCCATTTTTATTTATCGACCTCTCATTCGATGTCGAGCTCTCATATAATACCGAGCAGTATTTAATTCTCACGTGCTCCTTAAAATTTGTGATCTTTAAAAAATTGTTAGCGAACTCACTCTAATGTACAAAGGATCGGCGTCGAGCTGTAGGATAGATCACAAACTCATATATATAATCACCATCACTCCTTCCTAGATTCGAATGCAGGCTTTGCAAATGTAATGTGAATGCAAGCCTGATTTAAAACAATAATTGCACCGTTCATCAGTTGAGAATGTATAATCAGTTTTTTTACCACAAATTTCGTATATAATATATTAGACATTTAGATTTTCTTTGCAAATTGTAGAAAGTATTGTATATATATAATCGATAAAACATAATACGCATTATTTACTTGCATTACTAATTAGGTCGTTTAATTAATTTATTATCAAATAACTAAAATATTCAATCTGTCAATAATGGATATTTTGATATCATATTTATGTTCGTTTATTACATTTTATATATATATATTTTTAAAGAATAAATAATTGAAAAAAAAAATTAAAAAATTCGGTAAGGCAAAGGCGTTTTGTGTTACATTAATATCTCTTTTAAATTAATTCTTAATCTTAAATAGGCAAAATTCTTGTAAAAGTTCCTTTCTAGCTGAATTTCTTTTGAAGAATAATCACGGTATGTGAAGAACCCAAATTTAATTTTAAAAATAATATATTTAAAATAATTAATTGAAAATGATAATTAGCTATCTTTGACAATTTTTATAATATGGTCGAATGTATTATAGAACAGAGTGAAAATTTTATTGTGTAAGGTAACAGAAACAATGACAGCGTTTATTTCTTTCGAGTACAATTACGCAATATTATATATAATTTATGTAACATATATTTTGTTTTGAAAAATGTTCTCGATCAATTTTAATTTAACAATTACCGCTTTATGATGTTCCAAATAAATTATTTTTTTAAATTTTGAAAAAATTCCTTATGATTTACGATTCTTTATTATATAAATACCCTGAAATTCCTAGTAAATTACGAAAAAAATTTAAATCAAATTCAAATTCATTCTGTACAAATTTCTATTAATAATTCTCATATCATGGCCTTGATTGGCTCTTATGATATATCACATGATGATGAAAATGCACTGATCGGCGCAACTATGATAATTATTCAAAATAATAATATAAATTATTAATTATATGAAGACGAAGAAGTTATTTGTGGTGAAGTTGATAAACACTTTAATTATAAAATTGGGTTGTCTGATCTACCATTTTTAACAGATTATAATAGATAAAATTGTTGGCTGACTTAGAACTAGATGTTTAAAAAAATGTCTATATTTAGAAATTTTATTTTATTTCTAGGTATTTGTCTCATGTGAATTATCGGCACTATCTTACATACTAAAGGAATTATCATGCCTAATGCAAATTACTACTAATTAATAAAGTATAAACAGATAATATAAATAAAATAATATAAATAAAATAGTACTAATAAATAATACAAATAATAAATAATATAAATAAATAATACAAATAAACAATACAAATAAATAATACAAATGAATAATATAAATAAATAATATAAATAATATGTTAATAATATTTTTGCCCCAAAAAAAAATCTAATTTGGAAACATTGTCCTCAACATAACGTAAGGTAAAGTTCCTTCGGACAAACTAATTATTCTAAATGTATATATTGATTGTTGTTACTACGATTACTAGGTAGGGATAAAAAATATATTTATCAATCGAAATTCACATGAATCTTAAATTCATTTAAAAAATCAGGAAAATTAAGGTAATGCAGGCCGGTATTTTTCCCTTTTTTTGATTTTTGACAATAAGTTTAAATTACGAGGATCATTTACGGTATATAGAAATAATAAAAATAAAGTTCAAAACAAAAAAAAAAAATTAATCTTGTATCATTATTATAAAAAATATCTATTTTTAGTTTTTTTTTTAAGAAAAAATTTAAGTTTTTTCTCATGCATAAGTGTCATGAGAATTTAGAAAAAATTGTCGTAAAATTTAATTTTAACGTTTAATTTTTGGTGCGTCATCGCACAGATCTACATACTGTATACTGTACATATGTCAGCTATGAATGAAAACGCATATAGATTAGACATTTATCATCATCATCATTTCAAGGGTTCGATATGCACACCTCAATAATAGTTTATTTGGTAATTAGATTGTACGTTCTCTAATTAATTAAAATTAAAAATGGTATTTAATCCATTACCATTTGGCGTTATGTTTAGAGAAAAAAAATACATGCAAAAGTAAAACATTTCCTTCTTTAATTTTCTTACGCGCTTTTTTGCGTATATTTTCCCCCCATTTCCGCTATTTACATTTATAATGTCGGACTTAACGGATTTGTCTAAATTTATGAATATGTTCAAAGTTTAACAAAGAAATTCAGCTTCGTGATGCGTAAATTGCGACATTTTCCGTGTCGTCTTAAAATTGTTTCACTTATCTCATCGATGATGATGAATTAAGTGAAAGTGTGAACATTTGTTATATATAATATTAAACGTTTATAAGCACAGAGAAATATTATATGCGTTCTATATAACGATAGTATAGCAGGTATAAATCAGTTTATATCCGGGATGTTTTGTATGAAAAATTAGCTTTATATCAGAATCAAATTTTCAACGACATATTTGATGAGTATATTATCAAGATTATTTAACAAGTAGGCGTTAAATAACAAATTATAAAAAAAAGCCGTATGAATATTTTTTAAAATGTTTACATAGCGGTTCAACTTAGCAGTTCAACTTGCGGATTGCTTCGGTATGACCAGAGATAACACATCAAGTATGATGTTCATTCTCAATAACTGCAAGGGGCAAGATATTCCAATTAATAACAATAAGTTATATGATTCAAATTAAAATATTATATATTTTATTTAAGATAGTAAATATTTTATATTTCTAAGATAAAATTTTTAATTATAGAATTTGTAAGTAATTTATTTATAAGATGTTTTTTTAATTCTAAGATGTTTTTTATCCTAAGATGGTTTTTTTTTAATTTTAAGATGTTTTTTATTCTAAGATGATTTTTTTTTATTTCTAAGATTTTTTATTCTAAGGTTTCTAAGATGTTTTTTTATAAGTTATAATCCTAAAGTATTACCTACTGGGATGAATTATTATTAGGAGTTAATGATTCACCACTCAATAATTTGCGAGATTTTTCATTTAAGGATTTCGCACCGGGGTCAATGGGACTTAAACCATACCCGTGTTTCGCACTGGGGTCAATGGACTTAAACCATATAATAAATTGTATGAAAATAATATTTAAATTTATTATAATTTTAGTGATATCGTGATGATACGTATCTAGTGAATGATTTAGCGAGTTCATTACATATAAATTATTTCTATTCCACATTCTTCAACGAAAAAAATAAATAATATTTGATCAAATGGATGGTGGGTCATTTCGACATAAAAGCTAACATTAACGGTAGCGTTTTTTTAAAACTTAGGTCGGTCATTCACGTTGTTTTCAAACGGCATACCTCTACACTAATTTAGCATCTAAATTTTTAACCTTCCCTTTTTTAATCCAAACCTTTCCGCTTTTAAACAACAACCGTCGTTACAGAGACCTTCATTGATTGGTGAAATGGCCACGTACTATTTTGAGTTTCAAATTTATATTATATCTCCTATTCAAAGGTATGCTCCGCTTTTTTTTAAAAAAAATAATTATACGATTATATATCCTTTCTATGTACCTTCGAGACGCTGTTAGTAGTAATTTTTAAATAATACGCGCGATAGAAGAAATAAAATCAACATTATACCGTACAGTACATTTTAAACACAAGTAAAAAAATATTATGTATATTAATCGATTTATTATTTTAGTAAAAAAAAGTGGTCGATTCATTATTTTATTAACGAGTGGTCGATTTATGAGTAATAAAAAAAACGAATTTATAATTAAAAAAAAAACGAGAAATTGATAAAATCAAAAAAAAACATCGAAAGATAATTTTAAAAGAGTTTCGGTTTTTCGAATATAAAAATAAGAGTGGTAAAATTACGAAAAAAGAAAAGAAAAAAAAAGACACACGTGAAAGAATTTAATAAATTAACGAAAAGCAAAATTAATAAAAAAAAAATTAATCCGTGTTTTTAAAACATTAACTGAAGTAATGATAATAATCATTATGATTCATTAACTAATGTAATAATAATCAATATGATTTGAAATAATTTTTTAGCATGAGAGAAATCAGAAATTACTTTATCTCAAAAAAAAAAAAAAAGTCGTATTTTAACCTCTTAAAACCATTTTTGATGTCGCAAAAAAAATATGGCGAATTTCAAAATCTTAATTATTTTAAACCTTAATCGGCGGAGGCCGGGATCCACCACCGAGGAAAGTGGGGCACATGGCAAAATAGCTAAACAATGGCTGTGCCCCAATTACCTTGACGGTTCCATAGATTATTTACGATAAAAACGAGATAATCATGAACAGATAAATACGCGAGTTGTAATACACAATAAATAATACGTGTGGTTT